TTTATTTTTTAGTTTTTCGATGGACACAGCATCTTTGTTTGTATGTGGTGTTGAGGATCGAACCCGGGCCGCACGCATGCCAGGCGAGCGCACTACCGCTTGAGCCACATCCCCAGCCCGAAAGGTAATCTTAATCTTTCCCCTTCTTGCTAATTGTACTCACTTTGAAAATTTTCTTTTGTAATAGATTGAGCGAACACTGAGCAGTAGATCCCAGGGTTAGAGACTGATGGTAGGACATTTGTGGGCTGAACTTCCTTCAGCGCTGTCACCATTTCTGGTTGAGGGGCACCAGCACTACTTCCTGCATATGGCATAGAGCCATAGGATTGCAGACAGTGGCCATGTTCTCCACAGAGCAGAGTCCCCAGAGTGTTTTGGTCATAGACATAGAGCTGGCTTCCTTCTTGGTAGGTAAGTAAGAGGCTATGTCCCTGATTTGGAATCTGAACAAGCCTGGCATATAGTGTTAGATACACACAGATCATGACATTGGCTTCAGAAGTTTTGTCATATTGGGATGTCATAGATATGGAAGAACCTGCTGTGTCCTGGTCAGTGAGAGTCAGATTAAATTCCCGAGTGAAGATGAGTTCTTTTCAGCACTTCCTGGAATATACCACTCAAAAATACTTGGATAGGAGGCAGGTGCCATGGGCATCTGGTTCTGGCCAGTAACCCCAGACACCGTGGCTGTGCTAGCATGTTGATAAAGGGAGGCACTGCCCATGAGTGGCTGGAAGTAGGTGCCACAGGTTGAGGGCAGTAACCATGCTGAAGTGGCAGCTGGAACAGAGGTTCTGGAGAAGTTGCAGACACTTCCTGTCAGGGAAGCTGTATTGGTCATCACAGGAAGAGAGAGTTGCAGAGAATGTGCATTTCCATGTAAAGAAGAATTTGAGGAATTTTCTGTAGGAAGAAAGAGGTTGGTGAAAATATCATGAGACTGAGAGATTCTTAAAATATCAGAGGATGATATCATCCTAAGGTTGTGGCAGTCAGGAAGCCTCCAATACCAGAAATCATTGAGCTACCCCAAATCAAACCATTTAAGATGGCTGCAAGTGTGGGAGCAGTTTGGTACTCTTGTGATCAACTGTCTTTCTGTCCAATTGGACATAGTTGACTCAAGTGATCTGCTTCACTCATTGTTCCCTAAAAGTATCCTTCTCTCTGCCCTCTCTTTCCTTTGAGTGGGCCATAGTATTAACTTATGAAGCCTTTTTGAACTTGGAGAACACTTAACATTAACAGTTTGTTGGCTGGGAACATGGCTGAGGCGGTAGCACGCTAGTCTGGCATGCGTGCGGCCCGGGTTCGATCCTCAGCACCACATACCAACAAAGATGTTGTGTCCGCCGAGAACTAAAAAATAAATATTAAAAATTCTCTCTCTCTCTCTCCTCTCTCTTAAAAAACAAACAAACAAACAAAAAACAACATAAAAAACAGTTTGTTAAGTGAGGAAACAGAGGGTCAGAGAAGTAAGATTGATTTGTTCAGTATCAGTACCAGGTCATAGAAAATTACTTCCTTGCTCCGACTCTGTGCTCTAGACAAAGAGCACAAGTCAAGGAAATAGAATTTTATTTTTCCCTCTTCATAGAAAACAATCCTGGTGTCACCACTATTTGCTTGTGCAGCTCTCCTGCCATTTTCTAGAGTTTACTTGTACCATTCAGATGGTATATTTAATGGATCTTTTTTTAATATTTATTTTTTAGTTTTAGGTGGACACAATATCTTTGTTTTATTTGTATGTGGTGCTGAGAATGGAACCCAGTGCCTAACGCATGTTAGGTGAGCGTGCTATCACTGAGCCACATCCCCAGTCCGATAGGTATTTCTTTACCCTCTTAAACCTGGCTTTTGATGCTACATCAAAATGACTACCTGAGAGTAAGTTTCTTAAGAAATGCTTTCTGGAAGAAACATATTATTTAAACTCTGTGAGCTTCAGGTTACTAATCTCGAAGGTGATTACAATAATACTAACAGCGATAATTCATTCATGAATCAAAATCTAATATTACTTAAGATTCATATGATGGATTATATTGTATGTTTTGGAGTGACAGAAAAGTAAAAAACAGCATAGAACTAAAAAGAATGCATAGATAACTGATGAAAATTTGGAAATGTAGTATATTTTCTCACAAATGAAGTTCTGTAATCATGCACAAAATATTATGAAAGAGAATATTTCTAGTCTATTTTCCTGAATACTGTCAAACAAACCATTGCCCCCACCATTGTGATTTTATATGGATTTCTATGCAGTGCATATAAGAAGAGAAACTCTATCAGCCAACATAAGCAACAAAATTAAGTAAAAGTGACCATATACGTAGCCACAATGTATGTAGCTACCTATTTCAAAAACAGTGTTATGAAGCCAGCTGCAGTGGCACACACCTGTAATCTCAGCTACTCAGGAGCCTGAGGCAGGAGGATTGTACGTTTGAGGAAGACTTTGGCCATTTAGTGAGACAGTGTATCAAAATAAAATTTTAGAAGGGCTGGGGCTGCAGCTCCTTGGTAGAGCACTTGTCTCGTACATGTGAGGCACTGGGTTCAATCCTCAGCCCCACATAAAAATGAATAAATGAAGATATTGTGTCCATAAAAAAGGGGGGGAGGGACCTGGGGATGGAGGTCGTGGTAAAGTGTCCCTAGTTTCATTCCCTGGTACTGCAAAGAAGCAAAATCCAAACCAATCTCTTTCCTACCACATGCCAAAAGCAAAAACCAAAGCAAAAGCCCACTATGAATGGTGGGGTGTGCTTGTGGTCCCAGGATTCAGGAGGTTGAGGCTATGGGATTGTGGGAGCCCAGGAATTCAAAACCACCATGGGCAATTTAGCAAGATCCTGTCTCAGAACCTCAACAAAATGTGCTGGGGATATAGATTGTGGTAGCATGCCTGCCTAGCATGAATGAGACCCTGTATTTCAATCCCTGCATTCATTCCCCAGCACTGGAAAGAAGAAAGAAAGGAAGGAGGGAAGGAAGGAAGGAAGGAAGGAAGGAAGGAAGGAAGGAAGGAAGGAGGGAAGGAAGGAAATTTTGGCTAAAGTAGAGAATGAAACAAGAAGTGTAAAGTTATTTCATCACTGTGCTTGTTCATCTTCCTCCAAATATTACCCACACCAAATAAATGATATGAATTTTACTAGTAGAGATTTCAATTAATATAAAAACATTTTCTGATAAACATTTCAGTCAAAAATCAGGAAAAATGCTTGAAAATGAGCATAAAATTTACTTTTGTTCTTCAAAATCTAGTTTATAATCATGTTTAACAGGGATATGTTGTCTCTAAAGTCTGAAAAAAACATTACCACTAGAATATAATAATAAATTTAAATCTAATTTTTTTGATGGTTACTGGTGCTGGGAAGTGAACCCAGGGCTTCCCACATGCCAAGCATGCACTCCGCCACTGACCTACACCCTCAGCCCATATAGAACAACCAAAAAGAGGGGCTGGGGCTGGGGCTGGGGCTCAGTGTTAGAGAGCTCGCCTAGCACACATGAGGCACTGGGTTCATGCCTCAGCACCACATAAAGATAAAGGTATTGTGTCCAACTGCGACTAAAAAAAAATACATATTAAAAAAAAAGAAAACCCCAAAAGACTTCATAAAATTGTTTTAGATAAATGTGGAATTAGAGATGTGGAGCTTGAATTTTTGTCCTTCTGTAGGTCTCTCTTTTGATTTTTAGGTTTAAAAACCATTAATGACTCTTGAAAGGTATTCTACTTTAGAGAGTAAACTCTTGGAAAACTACCTGTCACAAAAAGGAATGTGTTCATCTGATGCAGGTTAATGAACATCAGTTTTTCAAAATCCATGTAGTTCAAAAATCAGAGTAAAGGGGCTGGGGATGTGGCTCAAGTGGTAGCGCGCTCGCCTGGCATGCGTGCGGCCCGGGTTCGATCCTCAGCCCCACATACCAACAAAGATGTTGTGTCTGCCGAGAACTAAAAAATAAATATTAAAAATTCTCTCTCTCTCCTCTCTCACTCTCTCTTAAAAAAAAAAAAATCAGAGTAGGACATGGAGAATGCTGTTGCCCCAGCCCTGTCTATACCCACTTTCATGACATATTTGTATGAAGAATCATTTCTAAAACATACTACTAAAATGTTCTTGTTCAAACTGTCAACATCATCGGTGTTCAAAGAGGTCATAGAAAAACTGTAACAGACTTTTCTGATAAACTGCTTACTCCAGTGATAGCCTAATTCAAGTCTTAGTTTCCTTGCTAGTGCATTAATCGAAACATTCTCTAAACCATCCTCTATGAAGATTCACTCTATGCTGTCTGTTGGTTTAAATAAATCTTTGCTTTTCTTCCACATCCATCCCAACCAACCTCCTTTTTCTTGAGAACATCATGCTCTTCATCTCTTTTATTCTGATATTTTCTTCTCTCTTATTTTTATATTTTCTTCCTCCACTGAGTTCCTGTTGCCTTCTGCTTAAACAGCCTCAAACTTGCTCCCCAAGAACATCTGCCTCCTTACAGCCCTGTCCTCCTACTCCCCTATCCCTCTTTCTCTTTTCACCTAGTTTAAACAGAAAACTCCCAAATACGTGAATACCCCTTTTATGAACAGCACTAAATTTGAAATACTGAAGTGGAAATCTTGGTGGAGGGAAACTGTTCCAGGAAACCTCTTGGTTTCCACCCTGCCTAGGATTTTTCTCTTTCAGTTGATACAAACACAACCATAAAAACTTATTTCTCTATAAACATGTCCCTGAAGGGTCAATATTAGAAAACAAAGGTACCAGAGCATGGGCAGTCTGTTATCCTCCTGTAGCAGATCAGGAAACAGATGTTGTGAGAGATTTAAAGATGGTCTAGTCCCATACCTAGTACATGTCAAAGTCAAAAGTGAAATTAGGTGTCCAGATTTCTAGTTCCATCCTTTCCATATTATTCTAAGCTCTTTTCACACCATTAGTAAATTTAGGCAGGGAAAAGTCTAACGAAAAACTTAAAAAAATTTTTTTTCCTTATCTGACATGGTCAGAGAAGAGGTCACATCAATTGCAGATACAAAGGATGAGGAGACCACCCCAGAGGATGTGTGGGTGGCTGAGGCTAGAGAATGTATGTTTCCCAGTATGGGGTTCACTGGTCAGTGTTTACTGGCCACTGGCCACTCTGATTATTGGTTACTGGTCATTGGTCACTTGCGATGATCCAAATTTGTTTACAACTGCATGGCAAGCCTAAGATTCTATCAGGTGGCAGTAAGTTTGGTGGGGGAATGATGTCACAAAACTGTCAGTTTAAAGGTATGAGGTAGCCAATAGGGTGGTCAGATTCCCAATGAGAAGGTGGGATTGGGTGGGGAAAATGACAAGAGAGTTGATTGGGTGGAGAAAGTGAGAGGAAAGTTATAATAGAAACTAAATGGCTCAGTTCTGGACAGGTGAAACTCTGCAAGAGGGACATAATGGGCTGATCCCATGGCTCCCCTCCCCCAGGCTCTTGTGTTAGGTATATCATCTCAGTGTTCCTTCTAAATGTTCATTAAAGTATTATGAATATATTTTAAATTATGTTTCACAGTGTAAGAGGTAATAGTGATACATTACTATATTAACATATACAGTTAATATCCCTGGAGAAGGAAGAAAGAGATATCTAAGTTGAGCAAATATAGTGATTCTGGAACCATAGAAGTTAATTTGATTAGTGAAGTTACTGCAGTTTTCAAGGATTCAGAAAGGGGTTAAAAAGTTTTTGTGTTTTTCTTTTTTTGTTTTAGTTGTAGATGGACACAATACTTGTATTTTATTCATTTATTTTTAAATGGTGCTGAGGGTCAAGCCCTGTGCCAAACACATGCTGGGCTAATGTTCTACCACTGAGCCACAATCCCAGCCCTAGGGTGAAGTTCCTTGAGTGCATTCTCTGGGGAATGAGGTGGCCCAAGATTCTCTTTAGTTTCTCCTTGGTCCCTGCTTTCTTTGGCCTGGGCTGGGCCAGGTTAGACTGGTAACTCTCTTCTGCTCTCCTTCCCCCACTCTCTTCACTGCAGACATTTTTTCATGGACAAGCCTTGAGTCTGCATTCTTATACACATTGATATTACTTTCTTTTGACTTCCAGGAGCAGGGGTCTTCTTTTCTGTGAGTTGATTCTTTGAAAAATGAACAATAGAAGCAATTCTGGAGAGGTGAAGACCTAGTTGACTGTAAAATTTCCCTCTCTGGATTTTTGTTGTACTCCTTTAACTTATAATTTCTTGAGGACAGCTTTTTGGTCATGTAGACTTTCTGCCATCAGCCTCTTTCATATGTGAGAGGCACTGAGGATCCTTTCTCTCTTCTTATGTAAGAGGATCCAGTGTGGCAGTTACTGTGACTCCCCCCCACTTGCAGACAGCCTCTACAGAATTTTGGGCTTCTCACATTCTTTGTCTTGCATGTTTGGGTGGAAGGCCAGGAGAATAGTTAGAACATTAGGATAACATAAAAAAGTAAGCATTGGGCTGGGGATGTGGCTCAGGCAGTAGCGCACTTGCTTGGCATGCATGCGGCCCGGGTTCGATCCTCAGCTACCATATACAAACAAGGATGTTGTGTCCGCCAAAAACTAAAAAATAAATATCAAAAAATTCTCTCTCTCTTTCTCTTAAAAAAAAATAGGATGCAGTTTAAAAAAAACAACAAAAAAAGTAAGCATAAAGAAAAGAGAGGTTAACATGTACTTTTAAATTTTAACTTTTTGTTAGAAACAAGTCAACTCATTGAGGTCTCATTTTGTGTTAATAAAAGAGGCAATTCATTTTTTTTTTTTTTGCAGGGGGGACGGGTCCTTGGAATTTAAACCAGGGACACTTTCCCATTATCTCACATCCCCAGCCCTTTTAATTATTATTTTTTTTACAAACAGGGTCTCATATGTTGCTTAGGGCCTTTCTAAGTTGCTGAGGCTGGTCTTGAACTTGCGATCCTCTATCTTCAACCTGTTGAGTTTCTGGGACTACAGGTGTATTCTACTGCACCTGGCTCATTATATATATAAATTAAATACATATATAAAAATTAAACACATATAAATTAAATGTGTATATATAAATTTAAAAAAATATATGTAATTTTTAAAAAATAGCTAGGTTGGAAGCCCAAAAACTGTCATGAATTCTATACAGTGGAGATAAAAATCTTAATTCTTATTTTCTTTTTTGTCATATGATCTCATTTTTGTCACCCATTAATATGTTTGTAGTGTATGGATAGCTATTTTAGACTCTGGGTTTTCAGCTCACTTTTCTTTTTGTCATATTTTAAAGAAATGCAACATTTTAAGATATATCGCATGTTTTTCTATTGATGATAGTTTATGCTGAAGTATTGTGAATTAACTTAATCTGATGGATTTGTGTAGACATGCAAAGAGAGGCTTGTGGAAAAAGCATTGTGGTTATGCTATGCACCCAAGGAACAGGTTTGTCTGTTCAGCCCAAATTTATCTAAATTGCTTTTGCTTTTGATCCCCTGGAGAGTGTTTGTTTTACCAATTTTCTCTTGTAATGTGATAAAGTAAGTCAGGACTGAGTTGGTTATTTTATATATATATATATAT